TGTTCGGTAAATTGACGCATGTTGTGTCCACCAACAAGAAGTTTCTCGTCATTTTATCTTGTCGCTGACGATCATGGTGAGTACAAATCTAGAAACATTTGTTGGCTTGAAATACATATAACTGAAGCAATCTGGAATCGGAATTACCATCACTGCGTACTAATACACCACTTACCACCCATCTCTTTATTAATAATAGAGTGTAGTGATGCAAATGTGGTATACGATTACAGTCTCGATATTGGCTGTAAATGCATGGTCAGCCAAATCCGACAAGAAAACTTAACCGTAAACTAAATAGACTTTTAGTCCTCACCAAATCCGAAAAAAAGGTATAACTGTAAGCAATGAACTACATTTTAGTTTCATTGTCCAGTATAACATTTCTGATTTCAGTTTCAATTTGCTGCTATGTATGTGTATTAGTACTTTGGATGTTGTTGTGTTGTTGGCATCCTTGCCCATATTCTTCTTAGATTTAATGAGAAAAATTCACTGGCACTTGTGACGATAAAAATAGTGCAATTAAATATGCATTTAACATTGTATTTTTTGTTTATACTGTTTATATAATAAATCCGACATTAAATAATTTTGATAATATTTTGGGACTTGTAAGGCAGGGGTATGAAACTGCAGTCAGAGTGTGTTCCACCACATATTCCACCTGATTTAACTGAGATAAAATAATGTATAACATGCAATGATTTCTATGGCTGAAATTAAGATATTAGGGGCAGATATGCAGGGAACTATACTACATGTACATGTATAGAATGTCTTTCACACATATTCACAATTTCTCAAACTTTGTAAGACAAGTAGTTTATGTCTATATATACCGGTACTTAATTTATTTTCATAGCTCTGTTTGTACTGCACCACATGCACTTTGCACTCAATGTGATCATTGATTTAAATAAAAGTAATATGATTAGGATCATTTTGAGGCAGCAACTTCTTTTCCTTTTTAACTTGTATTTCTTTAAAATGATTGCAATAAAATACTATTACCGCTATTCTCAGGTTATGGAGGGTCATTGAATGTATTAAACTCTGAATTGAACTTCATATTTATAGTTGGCATGTTATATTACAATTTTGTTATAGTGTCTGTGACTGTAACCACTGGTCATTGACACTGCTAGAGATTTAAAGGGCAACT